GTGGATGCAAAGGTGCTCAGATGCCATTTTTGCTAAAGGTGCTCCATTGGACACATGTATTGGGTTTATTGATGGGACTGTTCGTGGGAATTGCCGTCCTGGTGATGGCCTTCAGTCTGTTGCGTACAACGGTCACAAGGTAGAAATTATCAAACATGGTTGTGGTCTCAATTAAATTTTGTTCTAGAGAGCATCTTAAAAATTTCAATCGATCACGGCTGCAGATGGAATAATAGTTCACTTGTATGGCCCTGAACCTGGTTCACGAGATGACGCGTATCTTCTCGAAAGGAGCAATATTTTTCCGTATTTGTACGATCGGCTCTTGGCGAACGGAAAGCGATACGTCGTTTATGATGATCCTGTGTATGGGATTAACAGTGTCATTGTGAGTGGCTATAAAGGATCACGTTTGGAGCCGTCACAAAAGAAGTTCAATAGCGCTATGATCTCCGTTCGGATCAGTGTCGAGTGGGGATTTGGTCTTGTTACCAAGCTGTAGACCTTAATTGACTATTCCGGGGGTCAAAAGTTAGGGTCCCAGCCAGTGGGAATGCGCTACGCTGTTGCCGTTCTCTTGACATATATTCACACTTATGTGAATTCTGGCAACCAAATTTCTTTATTCTTTAATGTGAAACCGCCGAGCCTCAAAGAATATTTGCGCCAGCCCACGGTCGATGGACGACATATGTAAATCTGTTTAATGCAAAAGTGTAAATGCATTAGAAGTTTTAAAACATGCAAATCTGTTTAATGGAAAAGTGTAAATGCATTTGACGTTTTACAAGATGTTCCATTCAATTAGACAAATTCTGCAATTCAACAGCAAATTTCAAATTTATTTGTTATTGCTTTGGTAAGAATGACCGCAGCACGTCAAGTGTACCCTGCACAAACTTCCACTGATATTCTCTGTCACGTTTATCGAGCTCCAATCACGCCTCTTTCGGATTTGTCCAAAGCAAACCTAGCCTCATCGAGTTCGAGGCGTCGTTGAGTCAATGCATTCGCTTGGGCAGCGCTCTCAATTTCACGTGACTTGAATTCATTTGCGCGCTCTAAATGCACAGCAAAGCTCTCGAGGGCGCTCGCTGTGTCCGGAACTTTTTGCACGAGACGAAATTTTTTCTTCTTGCCCTCGTCTGGCGGAACGTCGACGTCACTTTCATCATCGATAGACTTCCGCTTGGCAGCATAAGCTCGCATTGCAGCGTCACGCAATCTCTCACCATCGCTCTCCCGCTTTTCGAACTTGGCCGTCTTCTCTTCCTTGACAGAACGCTTGCGGTCTTGCGAGGTATTCATCTAGAACGTGAGATAAATTTGTTCTCAGCAAAACATGGCATACATTACATGTCCAATATGCATGTTTCACCAGGTCCACGATGTCCTGCATCAATTGTTCTCGCTCATTGTACTCTTCCTCTGTGCCTGATGCACGGAGGGAGTTCAGTTTGTCGTCCTTGAATGCGACGATCAAATCGTCGAACCGCTTACGACAGGAAACAGCAGTCAAAGTGTCGCCGTGTGTGATGCACATGTTTGCAGCAACCTCTTCCCAACGTGTTTTGTCAGCTTCATAAGGAGCATCAAACGGCTGAATGTGTATTACCACTTTTAAGAGGTCGAAGTCGGAAGCTGGTTTGAACAGGAATGCCACCTTTCGCTTGGAGCTGTCATTCATGGCACTACCCGCTCACAAGGAAAAAGTTTTCACTGTGTGCAAATCTCACAGTGAATTTCCTCCATCAATTTTTCCGGCAATTCCGGATACATAGTCTCACAATGAATTCTCACTATTGTAGGGGCCAATTGGGATCGGGCATCACTCTTCATTGCTTATCTCGCCCATTTGAGACTCAATTTTCACACAAAAACTGCAAATCTTGCTTGAAAAGTGCTTCTATGGACCGTCAGCCTTTTT